TTGTCTAAGCTCAGTGTGAAATATCAAAATGGTGACAGTTATATGAGGGAAGATGTAGTCATCAAGGTATTGATTTACTGTTATCACACTTTAGTAGTCCCCGCACATAAATTCTAACAAGATAATAGTACTTTTATTCTTGAATCTTCTAAAATTTCACTATAAGATATTACATACTTTGTTTTTATATGATAGCTATATTTCAAATATCTTAAGTAATTTTATCTTTTTATTCTTTGCAAGGTACAACAAAATTGTTGTGCCATAAAACAAAGGTACAAATTAATAGTTTGTATATTCATACGTTTGTTGTTTGAAGTTTACTACCTTTATGCCTTGAAAATATTTGGTAAATATGACATCTTGTGATACAGGCAGACCTGGAAAAAAATCAGCCATGTTCTTGAAGATTTTTTCATTGTAGAAGAACTTGTCAGAAAGGCATAATCTAGTATACATATATTTATTTGTTAACCAGAGTGTTTAATTGGAATATATTTTGGAAATCTGCTTATAGCTCTTTTCTGAACATTAACATTGGTGATGTGTGTTATAAATAAAGGATAGAGCAACAAGTATGCTTTGCTATAACTAAGAAACTAAGTAGACTTCAGAGTAGCCATGAGAAGACAGGGTTTTTACTGTGAACGCAGAGTACTGCTGCTCTTGTCTTGGTTAATCCAGGCTATTTAAAGGCTATCACATTGCCTTGTTGCTATGGATATTGTAATGAGGGACAAAAAGAAAATTATTCTGAATTTCATATATTATTTCATGAGATTTGATTTTAATAATTTTAAATATTTGATTTTTGAAATGCTGGATTATACAATGTGACAAAGAAAAGAGATTTATCATTTCAACTGTGCTTTCTAGTCTAACATCTGAGACTATCCATGATCTTCCTTCTCAGTCAAAAATTGGGTAGTTGTCTTGTCAACTTTTACCATATGGCAGTGTTAGGCAGCCCTAGCAGTGGACATGATTTAATGGCTGGAAGTAGTGCTTTTTTGAAATAAACTTTAAACCCTCTATTTAATGGTGATAATATTGGGTTTAAATGTACAAAATAATAGAACATAACACATGAATATTTTTTAATTTTATTAAATGTTGAGTCTACATGTATATCTGTATTAGAGGATTACACATTTTAGGTTTTTTTGAACCCTTATAATAGCAGGATATATGCAAAGATTTTTTTTGTTTGTTTTAGCCCTTGTCTTAGTCCATTTGTGCTGCAGATATTAATAGAATACTGCAGACTAAGTAATTTGCAAACAATAGAAGTTTATTTGGTTCGTGGTTCTGAGCAAGGTACAACAGAATTGTATGCTATAGAACAGAGGTAAAAATTAGTAATTTGTGTATTCATATGTTTGTTTAGGGTTTCTACCTTTGTATCTTGAAAATATTTGATAAATATGACTTGTGTTTTAGGCAAACTTGGAAAAAATCAGACATGTTCTCGAAGATTTTTTTCATTTTAGAAGGGCTTGTCATAAATGCATATCTGTTACACATGTGTGTGTTAATTAAAGTGTTTAATTTGGAAAGTGTTTACTTTTAGTCTGTTAAGTCCAAGAGTATGGTTCTGGCATCTGGTAAGGGCCTTTGTACTACATAGTCCCATGGTGGAAGTGAAAGGGCAAGAGAATAGGGGACAGCAAGAGGAGGCCCAACTTGCTTTTATAACAAACCCACTCTCTTGATAACTAACCTATTCCTTTTGTAATGCCATTAATCCATTCATGAGGGCAGAGCCCTCATGATAATCACCTCTTATTAGGCCCCACCTCCTAATATTGTCGAATTGGGATCAAGTTTCCAACACATGGATTTGGAGGGACATATAGTATCCCTTGAGTCTATAGTTTTAGATATTATTACTCATCTAGGACTAGGAAAAAAAAATAGTTCTTCCCTGTCATTTTATACAGATTATTATATCTGTAAAAATTATTGCAAATATAAATAATAATTAATTTTCAATTTTTATTGGAAAGTCATTCAAGAACATTTTACAGAAAGTAATTTCTGTGGGAGGCTGAGGCGGGAGGAGTGCTTGAGCCCAGGAGTTTGAGGTTGCAGTGAGCTATGATGATGCCATCATCCCTACCCAGAGCAACAGAGCAAGACTGTCTCAAAAAAAATAAAAAATAAATAAAGTAACTTTTAATGGATTTATTTAGCTCTAAAAGATTATTTATTACTTTAGAATTTTAGAAAGATTTTTTAATGTATGTAGTTTGATGGTTTGATATGTTTCCAAATAAAAATAATGAAGTTAATTGTCTATGTTTACATTTATGAGTAAAGAAGAATATCATCTGAATTTAATATTTGTAGTTTCACTAATGTATATAAGGTAGTACCTGGATTACTATAAAGACATAGAAGATAATCTCTAAAATTACCTTTGCCACACACTGATGTATTCAAGTTACTGCCTCAGCAAGATTGGAGGGGGAAGGAATACCGAGTAGCTTTTGAAGTGATCTACCCTTTTGCTTTTTTGATCTGTGGAACAACCTATCAGATGCCAAATCTAAGGATAATTCATGCCTGAATTGTTGTAATCCATCTATTATAGAATAGCCAATTCTGTTGTCAGTAATGAGGTTTAGGGCATAAACATTTCTCACTCATAATTTGACCCATTGTAGTAGCAAAGGAGCAGACTTTAGAGCAGTGTTTCTCAGCCTACCACTGTGGTACGAAATACATTTTATATTAGGCTCCAGATTTGTGCTCCCATGTGTATGCAAATGTGCAAATTAACAATTCTGGATATTTACTTTGTGCAGCACACTCTATTTTCTGTTCTATTTCATTTTTTACATGACAGAGAAATTTTTAGTTGTGGTCCATGAAATAGATTTTGTAAACCACAAGTGGACTGCACCTGCATTTTGATAAACTGTTTAGGATATTCCCTTATTCTTTTCTTAAAGTTTGTCTTTACCCTGCGCAACTGTACTTACATGTGTTTTTTATTATACAGTTTACTATGGAAATGGTCGATGGACACCCATTTAAATTATGATGCAGTTGAAATTTAAGGAAGAAAGGGAGCTCTTAGGACAGAGATAGATGTGTGAATATCAGGAAAGATGTTTTCCAAATTGTTTGTAGTAGTTCTGGGAAAGTCAGGATCATAGGACCTCTGCATTGTTTGATTTGGCGTTTTCTCCTCTTTCAAACAATGAAGGCTAGTTTCATACTCAGCAATATTTCAAAAGGTAATTCTAATTTGATGGTGAAATACTTTATAAACCAGAATTTGGATTTGCATCTTTTTAAAAAAATCATTTTAGCCTGAATAGGTTCTAGATTCTTAGCCCATAGAAAGTGAATGGGAAGGAATCCCTCACAGGTTTGTTTTGTTTTATACTTCTTTCCATGGAAGAAGATTCAGTAAAATATATCAAAGAAAGAATTCTACATTTCAGTGGCAGAAAGTATAAGGTTTAGTTAGTCTGTCCATTTAGGCATGTAATATCTGAACCTCAGTTAATTTGCAGATTGAATGAATTTGGCCAGATGATCTTAAGTTTATTTTCAACTTTAAAGTTTTCTGATTTTAAATCAAATTAAATTCGTGACAAGATTGTTTTTTAAGTGCCCACTAAGCATAAGACACTCTCTAGAGTGTTATAGGCAGGGATGTGACCAATGAAGACATAACTCAGGAAGGAAGCTGCTGGGATCCTGCCCTAGAATATTTGAGGTTTGTATGCTGTGGCCCCTTGATCCTCAGATTCCCTTGCAGATTTGAGTATTTATAGTAGTACAGATTGTCCAATAAGTAAGTAAGTAAACAAACAAACAAATAAATAAATAATTAAAATTTCTAGCAGTTTGAGTAATCAGTTGAAAAGAATTGCTTCATTTATTACAAGCAGTGCTTTCTTTGAAATTATTTTGAAATCCTTTTGCTAAGCAGGATAAATCTTAACCTATATTGGAAGTGGAAAAGTGAAAGAATAGAGAATGTGGAATGAATTATGTTAAACTTCTGAAATTATATATAGTTACAGGCTGATAATTCTATATTTGACAGTGTTGTTAAAGAATTGCTATCTATGATGGTAGTTAATTGGTTAAAAAAATTCTGAGGAGACAGTAGTGTAAAAAACAAGTAAGAGTAGGTGTATGTTCTTAGAAATTGTACATCAGTAATAGCTAACAAAAAATGAATTCATGTAACAACTAAGTTATGAATTCTTTAGGTAGTTATAGAAGCAGTGATTTTGAAGGAATGATTTAAGAAATGAATGAGTGAATGAACAGATGTTTTATTTTCTTAGCTTAAGAGAGGTAGGCTGTAGAGTTGAGAATCCAATAGGTAAAGATCTTTTTATTCTGTCTGTCCTATATAACGTTTTTTGTGAGAAAGGAAAAGAAAGTTTGGAATGTGTATCTGTGACTTGGGCTCCTGAGAACTGTAAGAATATTCTATTTAAAAAGTCATTAATAATGTAGATTTAGGAGGAAAACATATCAAATAGCATTTCAGTAGGCTTTTCTTGGTGCAGTAGTGTCTCATGTTAACATACAGCAGTGTGGATGAGGGGGGAGTAACGATGTGCTCATGAAGACTCCAAGGCCTCCCCAATCTTGGCTAACAAGGGTGCATTGATAGTAGCTAGGAAATAATATGAAATGCATTTCTTCAAAAATAATTTCATATAAAGGAGTTAACAGTTAAAAATAATTATATTAAGAGTTAAATTTGTATATTCACTATTTTGGGGTCTCAATATGTAAGGATGCTATTGCAAATTCAACGATCATAGTTACTTGTTTTCATATAACAAAAAATGCTCTAGGCTTCATTATACTATGTTTCATATGCTCTGTTATACTTTATCAAAAATACATGTATTATTCCTTAAACTAATCAAATTATAAAAAGAAAAAAAAATACATGTAATTAGAGCTTAAAAGACTTCAGTTTATTTAAGAAAAATTAATAAATCTAATTGTTTACTTTAAAGATACAGAAGAAAGAAGATCAGCCATTAGAGCCTAAGAAAAGTACCAGCCCTAAAAAAGATGCAGAGCCCACTGTTGATCTTTTAGGACTTGGTAAGTAATAAAAAATAATAGTCACATTAACGTTACAAAACAGTTGAAACTTTTACTTGAACTGAATGTAATGGCTTTATCTTCAGTATGCCAAAAGATACCTATTATCTGAATTTGAAAATGGTATGATTAGTTTGCCGAGTTCCCACAAAAAGGAAATCTTTAATAAGGGAGCCAGTGTCTGTCAGCACTGTCTTCACTGAAATACAAGTAATGAGTTCCTTGGGGGAAAAGATATATCAAAGTAATCTTCAAAGGCTTGGTAGATGTGACATTTTATCACTTAAAGAGTGAATTATCTTCTTTCTCTCCTCATTTCTTCTCTCTCTCTGTCTCTCGTTTTTTTTAATTTTGTGAGGGATTTTTCCCCTTGGTGAAATAATTCTGGGTTATTATAAAATGTGCTGGTTTAAAATAAAATTTGTTTGGTTAATTGAAGCAACATGTTTTATACCCCAAACTAGATTTATATCGCATATCTGATGACAATGAGAAGTACGCATTTTAATTTAATTTTATTCTCATGGCTGACAGATGTGGTCTGTGTGGGAAATAAACAGGCTTCCATTTAAGAGGTGTTTGTACTGTGCTTATCTACAAATATTGTTAGCTCTTTTTTATATTTTTCTCCTCTTCTAAAAGAATTAGCATATTAAATGGTTATTTTTAGTAATATCTGAGCCTTGGCGTAGGGATTAATTTAAAATTTTTTTTTTTAGCTTGGAGAAATATTGACAACTAAAGGAAAAGAGTGAAAGACGGTTGAAGGATAAGGTTGAATTTCATATACTGCTTTTCAGAAAAATTGATGAAAGTTGCTATTGAATAAATTCTTTTCTGTTTCATGAATTACAGTTGAATGTTTTATTCATTTCTTAGGAAGCTGGCATGTCATACAAATATACCTCCTGGAAGTAAAATTCTGTGATGGTTAAAAGTAGTATGTTAGAAATATAAAAAAGAACTAATTTTAAAAATAGGGCTTCAATATAGGGATCTAAATGTAATTATGTTGAAATCTAGTCCTCATAATTTTTGTATTTTATTTCTTTTGCTGCTAATAACAGAAAAGAAAAAAAGATTTAGTACAAAAGTATTTTACTAAAACTATATGCATCTTTGTCTTCACTGCATCATTTCTAGTTTAAGTGCCTGGTTTATTGGTTTATAACTTAGAAATATATGATATAAACTAGACCTGCTTCTTATCCTACATATTCATTCTTTAATTCAACAAATACTGAGTGTCTACTATGTGTTGAGATACCATTGCAGGCACAAGGGAGATAGCGCTGAAAGAATACAGATAACAGTCCCTGCCCACTGGGAGCTTTCATTTTATCTGGGGAGGTAGTGAGTAAACAGTTAAGTAAAATATATTATAGGTAATATATATAAGTGCTGTATATGAAAGAAAATAAAAATTGGTGTTTATAATTTTAAATAGGTTGGACAGGGAAGAGCTCACTGGGGCAAGTATCATTGGGGCAAAGACCTGAAGAAAGTATGGGTATTTGGGTATGTGGGCAAGAGTATCCCAAGTAGAGAGAACAGCAAATTCAAAAGGCTGTTCACCAGCAACCTACTTGAACTATACAAGGACCAGTAAGGATGACGATGTGGCTAGAGTGGAAGGATCCGGGAGAGTTGAGTGAGAGGGAAAGAGTGAGGAGGGGCAGGCATATTGTGACAGGACTTTGGCTTTTACTCTGAGTGACCTGGAAACACATGGGAGGGATTTGCAAAGAAGTAGTAATCTGACTTTGGTATTGAAAGAATTATTGTGGCTACTGTGCTGAGAAGAGATTATAGCAGGGCAAGGTGGGAAACAGGAAAACCAGTGAGGAAACCATTACAGTGATAGAAATGAGAGATGAATGATAGCTTAGACTATGTGGTAGCATTGGACGATAGATGATGTAATCAGATTCTGGGTATATATTGAAGATGGAGCCAATAGGATTTGCTGATCGATCAAATATGAGAAGTGAGAGAAAAGAGGGAAGTAAGGAATGGCCCAACTTATATTTAGCCTGAGCAATCAAAAGGATGGAGTTGGACTTGACTTTGATGGGAAAGTCTGCAGGGAGCTTGGATGGAAGATTAGGAGTTTTGTTTAGGTCATATTAAGTTTGAAATGCCTGTGAGACCAATTTTAGACTCATTTTAATAAAAGATCTTAATTAGGCAGTTATATGAATTGTAAGTGTAGGGAGAGTTTGGGCCGGGAATATAAAATTGAAAGTCATTAGCTTTTATGGTTTTTAAAGTTATGAAACTGGATCAGTTCACTAAGGGAGTGAATATAGACCAAAGAGAAAAGATTCAAGTACTGCATCCCACAGCACTCAAATGTTTAGAGGTCGGGAGATAGAAAAGGGGACCTGGAAAGATGATCAGAAAGGAGGGATTGGTGAACTCGGAGCAAAACCAGTACCCTTTGGTATCTATTGTGTAAGCTCTCTGTAAGTCAGATTAGAACTTCTGTACCATAGATTATGCTGTAGTAACAAACTTCCTCAAAATATTGATGACTTAAAGAACAAAAGTTTATTTCTCACTCAGGCCATATCCATCTGAAATGAGCTCATCTTCACTTCAGTACCCAGAATTATAGAGCAGCCTCTATCTAGAACAAGCATTGGCAGACTTTTTCTATAAATGTCAGAAAGTAAATATTTTAGGCTTTGTGGGCCACAAAGTCTCTGTCATAACCAATAATACTCAGCCATAAATAACACGTAAATGAATGGACATGACTGTATCCCATTAAAACTTTATTTACATAAAAAGGCAAATTTGCCATAGTATGTTGGTCCCTAATCTAGAACATTGCTGGTCATATGGCAGAGGGAAAAGAGCACATGGCAAATCAAATGTCAGCTCTTCAAGGTGATGTTTTCAAGTTATGTCTGAAATTTCCACTCTCATTTCATTGATTGCATTGTCACATGGCCTTATTTCATTCAGCAGAAGGATATATAGTCCATCCATGGGGAAATTTCACCAAATATTTGTGAACATTAATGCAGACTTAGTGAGGAAGAAAATGTACAGGAGAGGAGGGACTAAACAGTGTGTCAAATGTTTCTGACTAATCCAGCATAATGAAGATTGAGAATTAATCATTGGATTTAGCAACATAGATGACCTCACTTCTGCATGGGGAACACATCTCCACCGAATGATGCCTGTGTCTTTAAGTCTGTTGTAATTTGTTTAAACCATGGACATTTTCGCCTAATACATTTCCACGTATTATAAATGCATTAGTCTTTATTTATAATGGGCTTTTCATCTTTTTTTTAGGGCTGAATAATGTTCCATTGTATGTATATACCACATTTATCTGTTCATTTGTAGTGGATGTCTGGGTTGTTTCCACTTCTTGTTTATTGTGAACAATGCTGCTATGAACATGGGTTTATAGATATCTCTTCCAGATCCTGTTTTCTTTTGGGTTTTTTCACTGTTGAACTCTTGTAGGAGTTCTTTATGTATTCTAGATATTTACCCTTATCAGATATATGACTTGCCAATATTTTCTCCTGTTCTTTAGGTTTTCTTTTTACTCTGTTGATTGTTTCTTTTGATGTATACTAGTTTTTAATTTTGTTGTAGTCCATTTTATTTATGTTTACTTTTGTTATCTGCACTTTTGATATCATATCCTGGAAATCATTGTTGAATCCAGTGTCATAAAGTTTCATGTATGTTTTTTTTTCTGGAAATTCTATAGTTTCAGGTTTTACATTTAAGTCATGGATCCATTTTGATTAATGGATCAATTATTACGTATGGTGTAGAGTAAGGATCCAGCTTCATTCTTTTGCATGTGGATATCTAATTTTCCCAGTACCATTTTTGCAGTACCATTTTACCATTACACGATCTAAGACAAGAGTAGCTTTGGTGGGTAGTGTAAACATGATTGATGTGGGCTCAAAGAGAATGGAAGGAGAATACAGTGAATATATATAGTTCTTTAGAGGAGTTTTGCCATAAAGAGGGGAGAGAAATGGAGCATTAGCTGTAGGAGGATGTGGGCAGGAAAAGATGTTTTTTTTTTTTAACGATGACATTATGTTTACTGTTAGGAATGAACTGGTAAAGCAGACAAATCTGATAATTTTAGTATAAAGAATAATTACTATTAGCAGTTTCCTCTGATAGCCTAGAGTGGATGGGATCTAGTAGACAAATGGGATGACTGTCCTTTGACATAAACTCAATTTTTGCTGCAATAATACTGCATAGTGAATAATCCCCAGATTTCAAGACCTTATGACTAGCAAACATTTATTTCTCTCACTGTCTTTGGGTCACCTAGGGTGGCTCTGTTACAACTTCATTTAATGCATTTTCTGCCTTATAGGTTATTAGAAGGCACTGTTTACCAACCATTTCAGTATTGCATATTGTGTCTCCATTTCTCAAGTTCCCGTGAGTGTTTCCTTGTCTTCTATCACCCTGTCTCGAAGTCAGTACCACAGTTTTTAGGGTTTGGTTATGGCAGCACCCCTCTTTGATACCAGTTATAGTCAACTTTGCTGACCATGCTACATAGAACAACTCCAAAATCTCAGAGGCTTACATTAACTAACATTTATTTCTCTCACTCATGGGTCTGTGGGTCTTCTGAGACAGCTCTCTTTTAAACAATGGGGGAGCTTCAAGAAACAGTGACTTTAGAGAAGAACCAAGGTTTGTTTAGGGGGAAGAAGTGAAGGGAATGTTTGAACAAGAGGTTAAGGATATATAGGGGATTCTGGTGGTGACTGATAGTGGATTTTAGACTATATAATGAAAGAGTTCCAGAGGTTGGAGGAGTGGGAGATGGGTCAGAAAGAGGGCTGTTTTGGTGATGGAATTTTAACAACTGGGAAAGAGGAGGTGTCTTACTCAGAGCAAGTAGATCTCCTTACACCTGCTGGTTATCAATATCCTAAGTTATTTTTAAAATTATTTTCAGTCTTGTTTTTAAAGCTATGTTAAGCGTA